ACCAAAATCATAGAGACACTTAAGCAAATGGAAGAAATGAGGAAGTAAAAGAGCTTAAAAGAATATTTCTAAGGGTTTGAAGACAAATTTAGAAAACCAAAAGGGAGGATTATATTTATAATTTCTCAAGCTGAAAGAACTGAAGAAAAATCTCAAGCCTTGGGTTACAATATTAAAGGATTTTATGGACAAAATATTGAATGATGTGAGAAGCGTCAAAAGATGATGGAAGAAATACAATCGCTGTACCAAAGAGAAATGGTCAATGTTCAACCATTTCAGGAGGTATCATATGATCAAGAACCAATGGTATTGAAGGAAGAAGTCTAAGGTGCACTGAAGGCATTGGAGAAAAACAAGACACCAGGAATCAACAGAATACAAATGGAAACATTTCAACAAACTGATGCAACACTGGAGGTGCTCAGTCATCTATGCTAAGAAATTTGGAAGACAGCTATCCGGCCAATAAACTGGAAGAGATCCATATTTGTGCCTATTCCAAAGACAGGTGAAAATCATTGAACAATATTATTAATATCACATGCAAGTAAAATTTTGCTGCAGATAATCCTAAAACAGTTGCAGCAGTACACTGATAGAGAGTGACCAGAAATTCAAGCCAAATTTAGAAGAGGAAGTGGAACAAGAGATATCATTGTCAATATCAGATGGATCCTGGCTGAAAGCAGAGAATACAAAAGAGATACTTACTTGTGCTTTATTGACAGTGCAAAGACATTTGACTGCATAGATCATAACTATGGGTAACATTCAGAATAATGAGTTTTCTAGAACATTATTGTGCTCATGAGGAACCTGTACGTAGACCAAGAGGCAGTAGTTAGAACAGAACAAGGGAATACTAAATGGTTTAAAATCAGGAAAGGTCTGAGCCAGAGTTATATCTTTTCACCATACTGATACTATCTATATGCTGAACACATAATCTGAGAAGCTGGATTACATGAAGGAGAATGTGGCATCAGGATTAAGAAGACTCGTTAACAACCTACAATATACAGATGACACAACCTTGTTTGCTGCAAGTAAAGAGGTTTTTAAAATACTTACTGATGAAATTCAAAGACTAGAGCCTCCAGTATGGATTGCATCTCAATGTAAAGAAGGCAAAAATTCTTACAAATAATAACATTCAGATAAATAAGTGGAGGAAAGATTGAAGTTGTCGAAGACTTCATTTTGCTTGGATCCACAATCAGCACTCATGGAAGCAGCCACCAAGAAATCAAGCAATGTAATACATTAGGCAAATCTTCTGTAAAAGACCCCTTTAAAGTGTTAAAGAGCAAAAATGTCAGTTTGCGGACTAAGATATTCCTGATTTAAGGCAAGATATTTTCAATCATCTCATATACATGTGAAAGTTGGACAATGAATAAGGAAGACCCTAGACAAATCAACGCATTTGGATCATGGTGTCAGTGAAGAATATAGAAATGGCCACGAATTTCCAGAGCAATAAACAAATCTTTGTTGGAAGAAGTACAACCAGAATACTCCTTATAAGTGAGCATGTGGAAACTTTGACTTCATTTGTTTGTACATGTTGTCAGGAGGGCCCAGTCACCGGAGAAGAACATCATGCTTGGTAAAGTGAAAGATCAATGAAAAAGAGGAAGACCTCCAATGTGATGGATTGCCACAGTGGAAGCAACAATGGGCTCAAACATAGCAACAATTGTGAGGATGAGTGCAAGACCAGCCAGTTGTTCAATCTGTTGTGCATATGGTCTCTATGAGTCAGAACCAACTCCACAGCACCTAACAACTACAACATGATTTTGTACCAATACTGTTTAACCTAACATCACGTGCTGATGTTGCATGCTGTTAAGTCAGTTCTGACTCGGCAACTCTGTAAAGGGTTTCCAAGAGTGGCTGGTGGCAGTCCAGAGCTTACCCTATGCCATACCTGGACTCATACTTCACCTGGATGGTGGTTATGTACCGTGGAATTGGTTCTGACTCATAGAGAGTCTGCATAGGGTTTCCAAGACTGTAAAAAAAATTTTTTTAGGGTAAAAATGTAATTTACTCTGGAATTAGATCATTGACTCAGTTCTATTTTTTTAAATGTTTTATTGTGAATTATATGATAGTTTACATGAGAGAACTTTAGTTTTACATTCATTCCATCATATATCATTTCATTGCCATGGTTCCAATCCCCTCCATGCATCATCAACTGACCAAAGGGTATATCCTAGAAACCCGCCCCCTACACACACCCCTCT